TGGAGGGGGGCGTAGGCCGGGCCCGCCTCTCCCCCTCCCTCCCCTCAGGGCTGCGCCATGGTAACGTGGGGGGGTGGCACGTGTGCTCCCCATGGCACCGGTCCGGCCGCATCCATGGACCCTTCCTCGGGGAGGGGGGACTCCCGTTTCCCTCCCGGTGCAAACGGCGGAGCTGCCGGGGGGGGGCCCTGGGGGCAACTCGGGGTCTTCCCCCGCCCCGGCAGTTCCGCCGCTTGCACCCCGGTTGGAACCAGCACGGTCGCATTCTGCCCTGGGGGCTTTGCAGCCACTTTGGGGCTGAGTGGGTGAAAAAAGCGTGGGTTTAGTAGCATAAATAAATCATCCCGGAGCCATATTGGCGTTTGGGACTTTCCCGGTGGTGCAGGAAAGGGGTTTGGGCTTTTAAAATCCCGCCTGTTGTCATATCAGGGAAGTGGAGCTCGGTCAGATGGGAAGATCATCCTGCAGGGATGGTGTGTCTGGTTACATCCTATGGGAAAGGTGCAGCAGCTTTTCCCTGGGCTTTAAAAGTAAATGCAAACTTTACGCAGAGTTTTTTCCAAAATGTGTAAGTCATCAAGTGGGGGAAACTGATACTGAAGCTGTAAAAACTTACATATCTAGAAACAACTGAAGTCACTCACTGCAAAAAAATAATGGTTTTCATAGGGGAAATCAGGGAATCATAATGACACGTGAGTTGGTGTTTGTGACTGTAGGAAAACTGTAAAGAAGGGTCAATGCAAGATGTGTAAGGAGGTAGGAGAGTGATTTTTACATCCAGAGGTGGCATTGGCAAGGCTGGTACTGAAGTACTGCATCTAGGTCTGGTATCCACTTCCCCCCTCCCCTTATAATTAAAAAAAAAACAAAAAAAAAAACATGATAGGGGATGTGGAAAAGTCACAAAAGTGATCTGAGGTCAGGAAGCTGTGCCTTGCAGTCAGGAGTCAGAGCTGGAATTGCTTAGAACACTGTAAGGAAAGTAGGGGGTGATTTTATTAGGCTGTGGGGGGAGCTTTGAAAGACCTGCTCCGAGAGATGTTGCTGTAGCAGTTTGAGGTGGTGTGGTCACCGGGCGTC